GGTTGTTAATTTTTGTGCTAAAAAATCATCAAATATCAAGCATTTATGGGTGGATTTCGTTCAAACTTGGTAAATACATTAGACATTATGGGTTCCTGATGCTCGTCATTATATTTTTCAGATTGGATTCAAAATGACTGCCTGGCGGCCATTTTGTTTTGATGATTGGACTTCTAGATTATATATATATATATTCGTTATACATCATGTTATATATATATATATATACATGTATTCAAAATGGCTGATTTTGAATGCTGTTCCAGAGCAATTTCTCTCAATATGGACAAGTACTTGTTTGAGGATCAGATACAAATGTCAATCATTTTAATGTTAAAAAATCATATTCCTGACATGGTTATATTCCAGCTATATTACTATAAACAAAACTATATATCTTAAATTTAATAACTAACGGGGACTGTGCCATGCATGGCTTGTTTTTGCTGGGAATTAATTTTAGCTATTTTCGCTGAAAGAATGTTTCAGTGAAAATAAAACCCAGCGAATATACTGTTGTTCCTATATTTTACACTCAACTCGTCAAAAATTAGAGAAACTAAATTCCACCCAAAACACCCAAAAAGCATATTCAGCAAAAATTAGTTCCAGCTAAAATAAAGTATTTTACAGTAAATTAAAACCTAGTGAAAATGCTGTTGACAACATAATGCAATGTTTCCTTTACAAACTAGTGAATTTAAAACTCGGTGGATATTTTTCTGTCACAGTTTGTTTCATATAAAGTTTAAATAATGATAGCTTGATTTTATTCATACAGATAATAATTTGGTGGTTTAATACTCGAACGTCAGCATCTCATAATGGACATGGTGGTCATGGTAATCGTAATAATAATAGTTCTTCTGCAGCATCACAGCATGCATGTGCTAGTCTATGTGATGAGATAGTAACTCTATGGAGACTAGCAGCTTTAAATCCAACCTTAACACCTCAAGAATGCCAGGACCTATGGGAACAGTTAAGACACTGGCATACTCAAGTCATAGATAAAGTGCGTAAAGGCCGTGGAATACGCAAAGCTGATATAGAATTGTTTTCTGGATTCAAACCATCTATTGAGGCATGTTTGTTAGACTGGTCTGAATACCCAGTTGATGGTATTGCCTGTATAAACAGACATCCTAGTCTGCATCACAAGATTGTTGAAGGTCAAAGTTCACAAACTGCAGGTGACGTTGCTGAAAATAGGGTTGCTGAAAATCTTCAAGAGACTGCTGCATTTCAATCTCAGGAAAATCTTAGTAAGTGTGAAATAACTGCAGAGCCTAGCAATAGCTCAGCATCCAATGACCTTGGGGAGGATGCTGACTCTGAGAGTTCTGACACTAAACCATCACAGGGTGCATCAAATATAGACAATAATATAACAACTTCTGCAGGTGAATTTTTGGAATCTAAAAAAAGTGGTAAAAGAAAAACCAAAAGCAAACATTGTGAAGTTGATGTGGCTGCAGTTGTAGCTAAAGATGGTTTACCTGGGAAAAACGAGAGCAGTGATATTGAGTCAGATGTAGCTATTGACAGTAAAGTTCAAAATGAATCCCCGCCGCCTTCTGATGAATACCAGGTGTATTTTTATGACACAAAAGCTAAATTACCGCCTAGTAATGACAGAAACAGGAAGAGAGATGAACCTCCTAATTTATTTGCTGGTATCATGAAGCCCGAAATTGCCATGGATGTAAGTATATGCTAGTTTTTACACCAAATATAACAGCAACATTGCACTTACTGGTTCACACTACAAGCTGTTTGTTTATCATGACCAATCGGTTGATTTTTAACACATTTTCTTCTCATCTGTTGAATTACCACAATTTTACTATGCTCAGTCATTACTAACATTCAATATGACTATCAAATGAAACTCAACCGCCTAAGTTTGGCCCTGATTTGGAAAAATAGCACTCCAGTTGCCAATAAAATTGACAACAGGTCACTGCTACATGTAGTGGTTGTTGAATCATGAAATAATACCTTTGGTTGAACACCAAAAAGTGTCAACTCCTACCTTGGGTGAGTATGCTACAGGTTTAATGGTTGACACCAGGCCCTGTCATGTTATCCCAAACATGGAATTGGTTCTGTAACAAAATTCACTATATGTCAGTACTTGCACTCGCTATTTGCACATAAAAGAAAATCAAGAACGATAACAGTGTCGTTCATTGTTTGAATGTCTGGAACTAAACCTGAAAAATCTGATAATAAAAATGTGGGTGTTAAATAAAAAAAAATAAAAAAATAATCCTGAAAGATTATAATATATGACACTTATCCAATTTATATCATGGTAGTTCAGTATAATAAAGCAGTGTAATACATAATAAAATTATGGCAATTCCAAAATAAGCCAATATGTCAAGATGGATGTATGGGATAAACAGGATATCAAATTGGTGACCCTACAATATCAGATTTATTTAACTCAGAACAAATGAAAATTAGGTTACACTTGTTCAATAAATCTGATACTGTAGGTTCACTCACAAGATATCCTCTATATATCTTTCAGGCAGATATTTTTTTCAAACTAGCAAGTAGCCTTCAGACCAAGTTGGACAAGTTGTTATATGAGCAAATACAGCAAAATGTATGTATGTCGTTACCAAAATGAATAGATGTTTCTACTGCAAGACATTGTTACAGAACATTGTTGAAATGTTAGATAACCAGAAATCAGCTTGCTTAGCTATAAGCTCATACTCTGAAGAGTCTGGGCTGTGTTATCTAGAAATATTGATTTTCAGAATACCAGCTTTGAGATTGCTCAGCCAATCTTATTTTTAAACATTTCTGATAATTCCTAATCACATTGTTTTCTTTCAGATACTCTTTGCTCAAGCTGAAGCACTGTATGCCCATGGTTATACAAGGCAAGCATGTAAACTAGCTCTTCAATTAGCTGAAGAACTTCTTTCAAATCAACCGAAAGTAACAATTGACCAATCCATGTTGTCTGGTTTATCAAACAAAGCAAGAAGAAAACAACTGAATGTTCTCAGTTTATTGGCAAGTAATACACTTGCCAAGGCAGGGTTTCTATGTAGTGTGTTATCTGAGGAGGCAGAGTCATACCATGTTGCATTTCAAGTTGCCATGCTGGGACTGGAGATGTGCAGGTTGCCAGCATCCAACAAGGCATTAGAGGTAAGTATTATGTTATGCAATATGTTCAATGATGACCGACTGTTACAAGTCACAAAGAACATGTACTAAACAACTTGTCTCCATTGTGTTGTATTCAGGTCAAACTAGCACATCAAGAATCAGAATTAGTTGGTCTTTTGAAGAAAATTCCATTGTCTATAGCAGAGCTTTCAGCTGTAAGAGACCGTGCTGAACAACTCAAAGATGGCAGATTGAAAAGTCGTGGTGATGCTTTACTTCCTATTATGCTGGCAACATTCCTCTTTGATGCTCTATCTATGCCTTGTAAGTATTCAGTTAGTCTGGTTGCATAATTAGATGATACTTTCATGCCTTGTATGTATTTGATTTGCCTGGTTACATGGTTTTATGCTCATCGTGAAATGCTGATGTTGCCACAAAAGTATGCTTCAAGTAAAACTTATTATAACAGGTACCTCACCAAATGCAAGTCGGCCACCAAGTCGCAATACCAAAGAACGTTTGCCCAGTGATGAGAAGTTAGGATTTGATGCAGCTGTAGCAGCACTCAGTCTAAAAGCCAACGTATGTGAAGCTGATCATCCTTTATTGTGTGAAGGTACACGACGACAGCGAGGTGAACTTGCTATTATGTTATTATTAAGATATAAAGATGACCAAAGTAAACTAAGACTGGTGAGTATTGTCACAAAATGCACCCATCCTAATATATTGAACTGAAAATAAAAAATGTTATTAGCGATACACGAGACACTGCAAGCTTGCTATGATTATCTAGTACAATAAAACATTTTACAAACTTATAGAAGATTGCATTATACCTGAAAAGCAGAGACTGAATGAACATCTTTTGAACTAGAATTTCCTTATTCTTCAATGTTCAAGTACTGAATACTTTCAGAGGAGAACATTGCATTTAGATATCCTTACTATAACATAATTGACCATCATCAAATGTGTTTAGCACAATATTAAATGTGAAATACCCAAAAATGCTTAGTACTTGTTAAATTCCTTACAATGTTTTGACACCACTACAACGCTATGACCATTGTTTGTCCCATTTATTTAACCCGTAGTGGATCTTGAGTGGTTTATTACATTGTTCTTCTCTATACTTTCAGATTTTAGATGCTTTATTGGATAAAACTCCTCAACAGAGGCATAAACCACCAGGTAACAACCAGATGGCTGAGAAATCATCCCTGCAAACAGCAGCTAACAGAGCAGCTTGTCAATCTGAGCCACCCAAATGTATGAGGCAATCTGTTGATGTAGATGAAGCTGGCCAATCAGTGAGAAGTGAAGCTGTTAGTGTTGCTGAATGTAGCCAATCAGAAAAGAAGAGTGGATGGAATCCTGAAGACACTGGAGTAATGGATTTAGCATGCGCTGCAGGTAATAGTGGCACTTCCAGGGATGAAGGTGGCGAGTCTAGTCACATGGTTGAGAAATATGATAACAAAAATGATTTGGTGACAGAATGGCAGAAAGATGCAGCTGAAGCCTTATCTGAATCCTCGCAACCTCCACCACCACCAGTACCACCATGGGAACAACGACAT